CATTGATCTGTCATTGTACACATAACCATGATATGGATACGCGTACAATCCTTATGAATATTTATATCCTTACATTGGTAATTACATTTATATCTTAACATTGATCGCTGGACAAAGGTGTGTGGCGATCGTGATATCTGAGAAGAGGTGTAAAGGTCCATGTCTTCAAGTCTCTTGTGCTCTCGGTCTTACTATATTCTTGTGAGGCCTTGACACTTACTAAGGGGCTAGGGCAAAGACTAAATACCTTCATGACAACCTCCATGCGACGAATCCTTGGGTACTACTGGCAGGACCATGTGTCCAACAGCAGAGTACTCAGGGAGGCCGGCATGGCGAGGGTCACCTGCTTGATTTGTGACCACCAGCTGTGCTTCTTTGGGCATATTGCTCGCTTCCAGGAGAATTATCCTGCCAGCCAATCCGATGGGGATGGCCTGTGGGGAGACTGAGAGCATCGTGGCTGAGGCAGATGAGCGGGTTTCTCAATGAGTTATGGGCATAGGCTGTGCCCAGGCTTGGACACTTGCTCGGAGGAGGCCTTAGGAGTGCGGAGGGGGCGCAGCAAGGTGTCACCCGGCATGTGCCCCCATGAATGAATTAATTTACATTGGTAGCCAAATTTGGAGTGTTTTGTATCAAATGTACGATTACTTGCAGCATGAGAGGTGGTCAGCAATGAAACATGTAATATTAATATAGCTTCAGCGTTTAAGAGAATGATTAGATTGGTACCTTCTTTTTTCTTGATTCCAAGCCTTTGACCAGGGCTTTTACCACCATGATTTTTGGATGATCCACCAGATTTCTTTGAAGCCCACCTTGCACCACAAATGGAGACAGCAGCTGCTATTGGTGATAAGAACTTAGCTGCATCTGAATGGGACAAAAAGACGAGAATCAGAATGTCAATATCACAACTGTACTATTGACACATTAACAACTGCTACCTCCATTGACAACGTTCTTCTGCAGTTAAAATATCTGTGTATTGACCTATGGTGCAGTGACTATTTGTCTAATTTGTCTTGTATATATTCTCTCGATGCACTGAATTCAGGTAAGGAATGTTTATACTTATAAATATATTTATTTATTCATAAACAACTGTTTTCACTTGTCTCATTTGGTTGGCAAGGCAGGCACCTCACTCCATTCTGTGAAGTGCTCATGCATCAATTAGAACGCGTTGCAACAGTATATGCTACTGACATACTACTGACATGCAATGTGTTACTGCTATAGATTTAGCAATAAGAAAATTAAATTAAATTAAATTAAATTAAAAGCGTATAAAACAAAGTTATTAATAAAATACAATAAAATAAGTACCGGGCAGTACTCTTTTTAAGTTGTTCTCTTGAATATTAAATGATAAATCAATCATGGATGTACTTAGCAACTTAGTTCTTGTACTTGTGTACGTATGTACATGTACCCTCCTTACCTGACTTCAGTGTATTCCTCCTAATAAGGAAGCCACAAGTACATTGTACAATGATATGTTCAATAGAGAAATCTCCATGTTCAGTAACATATAGAAACATTCAGGTAGCAGTGTACTAAAGTGTTTTAATTTTATTAGAAACAAGCCATGCATGGCATAGTCCCCGTTAGTTATCAAATTTAAGATATATAGTTTTGTTTATAGTAATATAGTTGGAACATAAACATGACAGAAGTATGGATCCAGAAGATAATGCTTGATTATGATGATTTTTTTAACATTAAAATGATTGACATCTTGTATCTGATCGTTAAACGAGTATGAAGTGCATCAGGAACCCAAATGTACCAAGTCTGAGCAAAATTCATCCATAAACGCGAAGATCCAGTTCTGGAATGCCAGGAATGCTTAATTTTTGATGATTTTTTAGCACAAAAATGGCTGCCATTTGGCCATTTTGAATCAGATAGCTAACCCAATATATCTATGTCATGATGTATAATGACTATATAAAATTTGAACATAATCAATCAAAGCATGGCAGAGATATGGCACTAGAACTGCATTCATTAAAACAAAATGGCCGCCAGTCGGCCATTTTAAATCTGATCTGAAAAATAACGTGCATCAAGGTCCCATAATGTCTAACATATGCACCAAATTTAAACAAAATTCATCCATAAATGCTTGATTTTGATGATTTTTTAGCATAAAAATGGCCACCATTTAGCCATCTTGAATCTGATCGTGAAACAAATTGATGTGCATATGTATATCATGTGAGATGTATGTCTTTTAGTTTGATTGTGATTGGTCCAGGCATTTCTAAGATACAGCACGGACACGCACACGCACAACTGTGTCCGAACAGGGACTAACAAATATTCATGAATTTTACAAGCCAGCAAAAACCACAGAAATCTTGTAGTAGTGAAAATTCATTTTGGATCATTGATAGTGAATATTAAAGTGACTTTAGCAAAAATTCATACTCATGAATACTCTTTGAGTTATCAAAAACAGATTAATATTAATATTTGAGAAAATAAACAGATTTACAATATTGGGAGAAGGTCCGTCTCAGGTTGTTTTTACTAATGTGATTGCATATAGTGTGTACTGTACGAATCTGCACACTTTGGAAAGTCTAACATTCAAATTTTCATGTCAGCCAATTAAATACCATCAATTGCAAAAATCACGGCACGGATCTAGAAGCCGTACCTACACACGAATTGGTGACGTCACAAAATACATGACCTTCAATCGGCGGCGTTTCCTCGGTATATACGAATTGGTATATACAATAAAGATACTTAAGACATTAGACATAAGGTAAAACAAATCACCTGACAATATAATGATAATAATGGTAATAAATCTTAGCTTAACAGTTGAACAGAACGCTCATATAGTCAGTCGGGTGACGCCGAGGGTCACGCACTGTGTTGCAAAATGACTGTGTGGATGAAACTGGGTTATGGCGTGACGGGTGAGGAAGACATCATTAAACACTCTCAAAATCACAATAAAACGGGGAAGTGGTTGCATATTACGGCGTAGCCAACATGGAAAATAACAAGCAGCCTGTCGGCTGAGATAGCTCCGCAATGCACATGGCAATTAAAGAACAGAAGATATCATTAGAAAATGAACAAATCTGAGAGAGGTCCACATGTAGTACCTATATGTATAATATATCAAA